TGGGTGGGGGGCTGGGTAGGAGGTGGGTGGAGGGTCAAGGGTAGGGTGAAAAAATGAAATTTTGAAGTAATTGTAATTTGAAGTTGCAAGAGAGGTTTGGAAAATGTTTTCCTTAAGTTTTGAAGGGAAGTCATTTTCCTTAAATTTGAGGAAAATGAGTTGATTTGGAAAACATTTTCCAAAACATTTAACCCAACCAAACATGAGAAAATTGGAAAACATTTTCCGGAAAATGTTTTCCTTCATACCAAACACACCCTAAATCTCAACTCCTATTTTGGATTTGAGTAGTGTATCGAGTGTTCCTTCTTCTCTCCTTCGTAACCTAGCCTTTTCTTTGCTCTTTTCTAGATACTTCAGCCTTGGAGCAAGTTCCAACATCATATAGCATATGGTCCCTCGTGAAATTCCAAAAGTACCCTTCTTTTAATGTGTGCACGCCTCCACGCCGCGCGGGAGCGCCGCTGGGAGCCCGAGCAAGCGGAAGGACAACAACAACAAAACTTGCCCCGTGGGTGCGCGGTAGGAGTCCGAGCGCGGGGAAGTGCAACAACTTGCAAATGTTTGCTTTTGTTCTTTTTTTTAATTCCCTTAGCATTCTTGTTGGCCCTTTTCACTAATCATGTTCAATACTTGAATTAGCAACCCTACACATATGAAAAGCAGACCATTAATTGCAAAATTCATATTTAAAATTTGTCTAAAATAATCTCATTCCATTGCCCATCAAATACCCTCTCACCTGAGTTTTTGCTCATCCCGAGCAAATTAGAACAAACTTGATCCCCTCTAGACTTTAACGCACAAATCACTAGAAACAGTAATTGATTCCAACCATCCCTGTAGGTACATGCAACATTCATCGTTAAATGACTACTCATTGACAATGAAATTTAAGCGAAAATCAATCTATGAACTTTCTCACAACAATGAAGATGCAATTTTATCACCAACAAACTTATGTACATGCATCACAAACAGAAATTCTCATTTCATATACTCTCACAAAGAAATACATTCATGTTTTTTCAGAATACCATAGGCTTGACAATCGAGTAACTCTCCACTAATGTATGCCTTCTTAAGTTAAAATCATGTAAGACTTGCACGGGTGTATTTTGTGGAAAAGGGTGTTTGTAGAATCTGAAAAATAGTAAGTCACATCACCCACTTTTTTTTCTTTTTTCTTTTGGCGACCTTTGCTTTCTTTTGAAAACATATCCAACAACTTTCGTTACTTTTCAACAAATGGCTAGATTCAACCATCTCTTTTTTTTTTTTTCATAATTCAGTTCTCTACACTTCCTCTTATAATTCCAATTAAGAGAGTGACACACGAGGGATTAGACTGGAGAGCTGTATTGGCTAATCAAAGAAAATAGATTATTATAAGGCTCAAATTGGTTGACTAGGGATACTTGTCATGAACGTTTGGTGAATTTAGGTCAGTAGTTGGTTAATCAAAGGAAGCCTACAATCATATTTTTCTCAAAAAGTCCTAGAATTTTGCCTAAAAAACTACCATGCCGAGTTCTAGATTCTTTTAAGGCATGAGTACACATCTAGATATTTTCACCACACAAAATTCAAGGATTGATAATGCTTCAACTTCACATGCCAACAAGTGTGTAAATTTCAAAAATAAAACAAGCAACACAACATCTAGATAGAAATTAGTCAATTTCTACCTCTAGCACTTGTTCAACAATTATGCTATGACTCTTATCCTAAAAAAAGTTTGATTCAAAACAAATATGACTATGACATAAGAATCAGGCAAGAAACCCATAGAAGTACAATAAAGAAGTTACCCTCGCAAGAAAAACTCTTTTTTTTTTATTTACAACTCCTTCACCCCCACACTTAAGCTATGACATGTCCCCATGGCATAAAGAAACTGCAAAAGTAAAGGAAACTTCCCTGACTTTCTTCAATCAGTGTCATAAATAGTGTTGGGGTCCATTGTGCATACTCGGCCAAACGTGCGTAACTAAGCCATGATTTTTTCATCCGACGTGTTAACAATGAGTTCATCCATCTTCGTATGCATATCAACCATCAAAGATTGTATCTCAGTTACTTGAGTTTTAAGGGAGTGGAATCGCTCCTCCCATGACCGTTCCATTGAATCCTGAGTGCCTTGAGCAGGTGGCACTACATGATCGGGCAACTCTTCCACTTCATTAGAGTCATCCTTGCTTGCTATCAACTCTAAACTTTGGATCAGCCATAAGAGTAACATGTGACTTCTTGAATTTAACACCAGAAAGTTGACATAGCCTTGTGATAAGAGCCGGAAAGAAATAACCATACTTGGGAGAGGTGACTTTTTCAAACATCTATTCTTCAATTAATATGCCAGACATGATAAGCAATTTTTTCATCAAACAAAAGATAAGGGCCGCTCTAAAACCGTGTACCTCAGTTGTATTGGTGGAGGGAAGGATATGTCTAGTGATTATATGCTACCAACACTTTGCCTTAGTGTTCAAAATCTTAGAGTAGAATTTGTGGTTCACCTTCTACCACTGCACTGGCTGTACTGATGCACAGATAACCTCGGTGGACATGTTCCATTGGTAAGGCTCTTTCTTGTATGTCTTATGATATGCATCACGTGTCCACTAAATCCTGGGAGGTTATAGGTACGTTCAATGACTTCTTGTGCAAAATTTATCTCTTCCCCCCGTACCATATAAGCAAGATGCTCATGCTCAGGCAAGTCCGCATAGAATTTCATCACAACTGTCATATTAGCCTCCTTGGGTTGCTCAAATAGAATTTCCCATTGGCGATGCACATTGTCCTAGTAAACCTTGTTGAATTCGCGTATCAAGGAACCCCTATCAACTCCTTTTTTGACTATGACTTTTCGGAATGATTTCACTTGTACCTGTTGTTGATCTTCCCAAGAAACAAATCTGGTTGCATCAAATGACTTCAACGATTTTGACTGTTTTTCTTTTGAAGATGTTGAATTTTTCCTTGTCGAAGAACTTGCCTTTGTGCTTGGAACAACCCCTACATTTTTTGCTTTCTTGGATTTTCCATTTTGTTGAGTGTCCTGTCAATTAGAAAAATAATCCAATCAATATAATCTTGACATTCCAATCTTAACAATGTGCACCAAAAATCATGATATGCGATTGCCTTTTTCTTTTATTTTTTCTAAAAAGTTTTTCTTCTCCTTTTCTTTTATTTAGACATTTTATCAAGTACCTTGTGTGCATCCATGTTGTTACTTCAATTACAACAAAATGAGTATAATCTACACCCAACAATCAAGTAGACAACAATATTGACATTGTTATACAACTTAGTTCATCAAACTATTCAAAACAAATACATACAATTCTTCTTTCACAAACTTTATGTTGGTTAAAGAACCTTGAAACAAAGAAGAATTGTATGTATTTGTTTTGAATGGTTTGATGAACTAAGTTGCATAAGAATGTCAATATTGTTGTCTACTTGCTTGTTGGGTGTAGATTATACTCATTTTGTTACAATTGAAGTAACAACATGGATGCACACAAGAGTAACAACATGGATGCACACAAGGTATTTGATAAAAATGTCTCAATGAAAGAAAAAGAGAAGAAAACTTAGAAAAAATAAAGAAGAAAAAAGCAATCACAATTTATGATTTTTGGTGCACATTGTTAAGATTGGTATGTCAAGATTATATTGATTGAATTATTATTGGCAGGACACTCAACAAAATGGAAAATCTAAGAAAGCAAAAAATATTTAGGGGTTGTTCCAAGCACAAAAGCAAGTTCTTCGAGGTTCAAAATCTTCAAAAGGAAAAGAGCTGGAACTGTTGAAGTCATTTGATGCAACCAGATTTGTTTCTTGGGAAGCTCAACAACACTTTAAAAGTGAAATCATTCAAAAAAGCCACAGTCGAAAAAGGAGTTGATAGGGGTTCCTTGATAGGCAAATGCCAGATCTGGCTTACTTGGAGATCATGCGTCGCCAGTGGGAAATTCTTTTTGAATAGTTGTGGAAGTTTATGTGACTTGCCTGAACATGAGTATCTTGTTTGTATGGTATGGGGGAAGGAGGTAAATTTTGCACAAGAAGCCATTGAACGCACCTATAACCTCCCAGGATTTAGTGATACAACACGTGATGCATATATAAGACATACAAGAAACTAGAAAGCGCCTTACCAATGGAACATGTTCGCAGAGGTTATCTGTGCATCAGGACAACCAGTGCAGTGGTTGAAAGGTGAATCACAAAATCCACTCTAAGAGTTTGAACACCAAGGCAAAGTGTTGGTTGCATATAATCTCTTGCCGTATTCTTCCCTCCACAAATACAACTGAGGTACATGGTTTTAGAGCGGCCCTTATCTTTTGTTTGATGAAAAAATTGTTTATCATGCCTGGCTTATTAATTGAAGAAGAGATGTTAGAAAAAACCACTTCTCCAGTGTATGCTTATTTTTTTCTGGCTCTTATCACAAGGTTATGTTGACTTTCCACTGTTAAATTCAACAAGTCAGATGTCACTCTTATGGTTGGTCCAAAGTTTAGAGTTGATAGAACGTCAATTGGAAAAGAAGTAAGAGAGCTAGCAAGGATGACTCTGATGAAGTGGAAGAGTTGCCCTATCACTCAGGATACAATGGGACTGTCATGGGAGTAACGATTTCCACTCCCTTGAAACACAAGTAACTGAGATACAATCTTCGATGGCTAATATGCATAGGAAGCTAGATGAACTCTTTGTTAACACGGGCAAATCAGATAAAAAGATCATGGCTTGGTTACACGCGCTTGGCCGAGCATGCACAATAGACCCCTACATTTTTGTGACACTGATTGAAGAGAGTCAGGGAAGTTTTCTTTACTTTTGCAATTTCTTTATGTCATGGGGACATGTCATAGCTTAAGTGTGGGGGTGAAGGAGTTGTAAATAAAAAAAAAAAGAGTTTTTCTTGCTAAGGTAATTTCTTTATTGTAATTCTATGGGTTTTTTGTCTTATTCTTTTACCATTGTCGTATTTGTTTTGAATCAAATGTTTTTTTTAGGATAAGAGTCGTAGCATAATTGTTGAACAAGTGCTAGAGATAGAAATTGATTGATTCCTATCTAGATGTTGTGTTGCTCGTTTTATTTTTCGAAATTTGCACACTTGTTGGCATGTGAAGTTGAGGCATTATCAATCCTTGAATATTGTGTGGTGAGAATAACTAGATGTGTACTCATGTTTGAAAGAATTTAGAACTTGACATGGTAGTTTTTGAGGCGAAATTCTAGGACTTTTTGAGGAAGAATATGATTGTAGGCTTTCTTTGATTAACCTTCTAGCCTAAATTCACCAACCATTGATGATAAGTATCCCTAGTTAACCAATTTGAGCCTTATAATAATCTATTTTTTTTATTAGCCGATACAGCCCTCCTGTCTAATCCCCCGTGTGTCACTCTCTTAATTGGAATTATAAGCGAAAGTGTAGAGAATTGATTTATGAAAAAAAAAGAAAAAGGAAAGAGAGGCAACTGAATTTAGCCATGTGTTGAAAAGTAACGGAAGTTGTTGGATGTATTTTTAAAAGAAGGCGAAAGTTGCCCAAAAAAAAGAAGTGAAAAAGAGAGGGGAGATTTGGCTTATTATTTTCAGATTCTACAAATACCCTTACCACAAAATACACCCGTGCAAGTCCTACGTGATTTTAACTTGAGAAGGCCTACATTAGTGGAGAATTACTCGATTGCCAAGCTTATGGTATTCTGGAAAAACATGGTGTATTTCTTTGTGAAATGAGAGTTTCTGTTTGGAAAAACATGGAGTATTTCTTTGTGAAATGAGAGTCTGTCTGGAAAAACATGGTGTGTTTCTTTGTGAAATGAGAGTTTCTGTCTGTGATGCATGAACATAAGTTTGTTGGTGATAAAATTGCATCTTCGTTGTTGTGAGAAAGTTCATAGATTGATTTTCGCTTAAATTTCATTGTCAATGAGTAGTCATTTAATGATGAATGTTGCATGCGCCTATAGGGATGGTTAAAGTCAATTATTGTTTCTAGTGACTTGTATGGTTCTGGTTCCCAGTATAACTTGTTCACCAACCAACGACCCCTAAATGAACAATGGAAAAGAAAAGCTGCTTGAAGTGGTAAAATGGAGGATAGCTACTTTGAAAACCACATTTCTTCCATCAAATATGGTTCTGGTGAAGATTTTGCAAGTTATCAATTTATGCCAGTTTTCCTTCTTATCCTATGTATTGAAAATTTTATTTTTAAGAACTTATCAGGCATACTTCTTGGACATGGATACTCAATTTCCTTATGTTAAATGATAATTAATATTTAGGGAGTCAAATAACTTCTTATTATGTTCAATTATAATTTCTTTAAAAACATTTTATAATATCTTTACTTACAAAAAATTGTGAATTATAATACTTTGTATATAGTTTCTAAGTATGTGATATTTATTCAAGAAGTAGGAATTGATTTCTAGATTCATGATGAAAATTACATTATTTCAGCTTGTACTGTCAAATTCTTTTTGTTGATGGGAGAGGGTATTTGTGAGCCATTTCAACTTCAGGCAGTAGGAAAAGTATCTTGCTGGTGTTGATAGGGTGCTCGTTTATGTATGATTTATGTGCAGGTGATGATGAAAGATCAGTTTGCAAACTATGTTGTACAAAAAGTGCTGGAGATCTGTGATGACCAGCAACTTGAGCTAATTCTCAACCGAATCAAAGTTCATTTAAATGCTCTGAAGAAATATACCTATGGAAAGCACATAGTTGCCCGTGTAGAGAAACTAGTTGCTGCTGGAGGTATTCTTTCTTTTGCCTCCCTTCTCGCCTTATGATAAGTCAAGTCTTTACCTGTCTATATTTTGTTATACTGACATCTCATTTTATGGTATCAATAATTCTTCCATAGTTCACTCGATATCTTCTTTTTCTCTATGTTAGTTTTGCTATACTCTAGTTTGAACTTGATGAAGCTGCCTTCCCCACCTCTCCCCCACCATCAATTCTGGAACTTTGCACTAAATATTAAATTTGTCTATGGTCACAAAGTGCCCAGAGTGGAAGTGCATTTCTAACTAGGTGTTGCATGTTTTGCAGAGAGGAGGATCAGCTTTCTGGCTTCGTATTCTACTTAGATGGCATAGGAAGGAAATTGTACAGCTAACTGAGGCTAGGTCGAGTGTCCTCGTCTTTGTTCTGTTGTCTAGCTTTGGCTCTATCTGTTACCATGGAGCATGTTTAAAAATAAAAATGTTTGTAGTACTTGAGTTGTACATTATTAGTTCGAGGTGTATACGTAGAGTTGGGTTAGCCATTAGGTGAGGGCTCAGATGTTAAACATACCTGATGCCACTGTCGATGAGATAAAAGTAACTGTACAAGGGGTGTAAAAGTTAAACTGTAGAAGTCTGTTCGTGACTGTACAAATGTTGCCATGTGCAGAGCCTATGATTTTTAGGTTGCCATGAGGTTTTCCTAATGTATGGATAATTATTTTTCTTTAAATAAAATAAAGTGTTTTCTATCAGATTTTCCTTTTAATCATGCTAGTAGAATGCAAGTTTCTATGTGGCCTTTTAATCTCCAATTTCCTTTTTTTTGCAATAGTAATTTTTCTTTCAAAATTTTTTGGGAAAATGGTTGTAAAATGACCCTTAAGGTCATTTTTGAAAATTTTCTTAAAATTACTGTTTTACCCTTCGATGGTTGCCCAGAGTCAATTTCGATCAGGATCAATCGGTGAAATTGGTTTGGAAAGTTTAGAGCTATTTGTTAACTGTGGTTTATTTTAAATAATTAATTGAATTGGTAGTTAATGGATTAAATTGTTAATTTATTTAATATCCTATACCATTTGGCCCGTATATATTTAAAAAGTTGGTGGAGTTTCTCACTTTCAATTTATGATAATTATTATTCGTTAAAGAAATAAAAACTAACCTAATTGCCGCATCTGCAACAAAGAGGGCTACCTCCTGGTAAGCAAATTTTCAAGTTATTACCTGCATATAATAAGTTTCTTTATACTATTGCCACATACATGATCTAAATCAATTTATACTCATACTAGATAGGAAACCCCGTGCTATGCACGGGCCCAACATAATACTCTAGTTATCAAAATTTAGGTAAAGTTTTTATTGTAAAAAGTTGGTGAATAGCTACTGTGAACATTACTATGTTATTACAATCATTGATTGAATTATGACAAAAATATACAAATTGAAGTTGTTTTCTGTACCCGTACTCTAGTATAGTTACAAACCTGAAAGTGTAGAAACTAAATGTATCTTCTAAAGTTAATGCAAACTCATTTTGTCGTATCTAAAACTCTTGTGCGCTTAA